ACCTAGCAGGAGACATCAAAAGCAATAAGAAGAGGTTCTTTAAATACATTAGGAGCAAGAGAAAGATGAAATAAAGTATAGGTCCTCTAGTGAGTAGGGAATGAGAGCTAATAACTGGTGAGATCAAGAAGGCTGAGGTATTTAATGCCAGTTTTGCTTCTGTCTTCACCAAAAAGATTATGGCTCACCAGATACTCAACACAATTAATATTAACAACAAGGGGGAAGGAACACAACGCAAAACAGGGAAAGAACAAATTAAAGAATATTTAGGTACGTTAGATATATTCAAGTTGGCAAGGTCTGATAAAAATTAATCCTAAGGTACTTAAGTTGAATCTGAATCTGAATCTCAGAACCGTTAGCAATTATTTTTGAGAACTCCTGGACAATAGGTGAATGTCCCAGTGGACTGGAGAAGAGCAAACATAGCACCTCTCTTTAAAAGGGGTAACAAACAGGACCCAGTGAATTATAGACCAGTCAGCCTAAAGTTGCTAAAACAATTTATCAATCAATCAATCAACTTGTAAGCACTTGGAGGATAATAGGGTTATAAGGAATAGCCAGCATGATTTTGTCAAGAAGAAAACATGCTAAACCAACCCAATTGCCTTCTTTGTCAGGGTTACTGGGCTGTGAGTAAGGGGGAAGCAGATGATGTGCTATATCTTGATTTTAGTAAGACTTTTGACACAGTCCCACATGCTAGGGCCCTACCAAATTCACGGCCATGAAAAACGCGTCATGGACCGTGAAATCTGGTCTCTTTGCATGCAATCTGGTCTTTTGTGTGCTTTTACCCTATACCAGCAGCCCTCAACCGGGGGTCTGTGAGCCTTTTCAGGGAGGCTGCAGGGCCCCGTGGCTGGAACCTGGTGCCCTGAACCCTGGCACCTCCTGTGGGGCTGAAGTCAGGATCCCTGGCACCCCCTTGCGGGGCTGAAGCTGGAAGTGGCGCGAGGCTGAAGTCCCCCTCCCCCAAGCCAGGAGCAGAGTGGGGCTGAAACCGGTGCTCTCCTCCCCCCCCCACCAAGCCAGGAGTGGTGCAGGGGGTTGAAACCGGCGGGGGCCCCCTGCCCTTGAAGCCAGGAGCGGTGTGCTGCTGAAGCTGGGAGCCCCAGGGTTCCCCACCTCCTGCTGGGAGCCACGTGGGACTGAAGCTCCAAACCCTGGTGCTCCCCGTGGGCACAGCTGGGGGAGAACAAGGGTGTTGGCCCCCCAAACTGCAGTGCCTTTCCCAGAGTGCGGCAGTCTGGGGGCTGCTCCATCCCCCTCACACCTTCTCCTCCCCCCCCAGGCCTCCTCAGGCCCAGCCCTCTGGCCAGGTTGTAGGTGGGAAGCCAGAGCCAGGCAGTGCAGCAGCTGCTCCTCTGGCTGGTGGTGCCATGGAGTGTGCATCCCTGGCATCCCCCATCTGCTGCTGGTGCCCGGGGTTGTGGCTTCCAGCCCTCTTTGCTCACGCAACTGGTAAGAGCCACCTGGGTGGGGGGACCCAGCTCTGGGGCTAGCAGAGCCCTTGGGGAGCAGCTCTTCTGGCACACAGCCCCTAGCTATCCTTCTTCCTGCACCCTGAACTACCCCCCTTGCCCACACACAGCCCCTAGCTACTCCCTGCCTGCACCCTGAGCTCCCCCCACCCATACACAGCCCCAGCCATCCCCTGCCTGCACCCTGAGCTACACCCCTGCCCATACACAGACCCTAGCTGCCCCCTACCTGCACCCTGAGCTATCCCCTGCCCACACACAGCCCCTGGCTACCCCCTCCCTGCATCCTGAGCGGTTTTCAAAGTTTTTGAGCTGAGTTCCCCCCTTTGAGTAATATTTTTTGGTTGCAGCTCCCCCCCCAACCCAGACAGGTGGGGGGG